GGGGTGAGGCCAGGGCACAGAGAGGAGGAGGAGGAGGAGGATGGTGCTCAGTCCTGCATCACTCAGCCCCAACTCTGAAGGGGCCAGGAGAGCAGATTGCACTGATGGAATCTGCTCTGGTGGTCAGGGATGCTTTTATTGGAAAGGGGGATTTTTCCCCTTGGAGCAAAACACTCTCAGCCAGGTTTGCATCACCTTCTCTTCTGCAAATGAAGCTCGTCAGGAGGTTTCAGGCACTTCCCAGAGAAACAGGGACAGGAGCCCACGGCCCCCATCCCACTCCCACAGCCACGGGCAGCTCTGCCCTTACCTCCCAGAGGATTTTGTACAGGGAGTACAAATTCTGGCAGTGCTGCATGGGATGGAGGAAGGAAAGGTTTCAGGAGGATTTGGGGAGAGCAGATAAAGCTTAAAAAGATGGGACAAGTAGTTTCAGCATAAACATTTTCCAGGAGGGGTGGGGGACCCATCAGCAGTGTGCAGGGCTGGCAGGAAGGGAGTCATTCCCGAGGAGCGTTGCTTCTAAACCACTGCAATATGGCAAGGCAATGCTAACCAGCTGGGAAAGCTCTTTAAAGACCCTTAATTAAAGGCTGGCTGTTGCACAGGCCCCTTTCCCACCCCCACCAGAAGCCTTTCCCAGTTTCCCGCTGCCCTCCATCCCTCGCACTTTCTTTCCCGCTGGCAGCGTGCTGGGGGGTGTCATCCAGCAATCAGCCCCTGCTGCCACATGGAAGTTTGAACTCACAGCAAAAGGGAAAAGAAGGGGAAAACTCCCTCCCTGTCCCCCTTCAGGCACGGCTGGAGCAGCAGCTGCCGGCGTGGATGGCAGTGGTGGGGCAGAGCTGACACAGGCAGTGGGAGCAGTGGTTTAATCATCTGCACCACCACTCACCAGCCACAGGAAACTGTGAGAAACAGGGCTGGGTCAGTCCCTCCAGCACCATTTCTCCCCTCTAACTCTGTCCCTCACATAATGAGCTGTGGTGTCACTCAGTGCCCCACCACTCACCAGCCCTGGCTCCAGCCACCCCCTCCTCCTGCCCACTCCACGTGTCCATGTCCCCTGGGAAAGGAGCAGCAGGGGCACTACCCCATCCCACACATCTCCCTCTACCCCACACCAATGGGGGCTACAAGATTAGGGCCGGAAAGGCATCAACTTATTCTTCCTAATGATAGAAATTAATTAAACAAGGCAATATGTTACTGTTTCTAATCAAAGCAAAAATCTGGCATTCCCTCACAACCGAGCCGAGCACAACCACACTGCTCCATCCCAAACACCACCCTGCTCCATCCCAAACACCACCCTGGCCCTGCAGCCCCCAAAAACAGCAGGAAGGGTGCCCCACACCCCTGGCAGTAGCTCACTTCCTTACCAGCCAGTGCCAGCTTCAGCTCCCTGAGCCAGGACAGCCTCCCTCTGCACCCTCCAGAGCTTCAGAATCCAACCAGGACATTCCTCCCTCCCAGCTTTTATAGCCCCCAGGTGCCCCACGGCCCCAGCAGCACGAGCCTCACCTGGGCACTGTGGGGTGGGATGGGTGCAGCCATACAGGGAGCAGGGAATGGGGGCACATGGACACTTTCAGGGAAGGGCATGGCTTCCCCTGTTACAGGTTACAAACACTCCCAGAGCACATCAAGATGAAATGTGTAATTACAAATCAGCCCTGCTGCTCCTCATCTCCAGACCCACGCAAAAGCAGGGAAGTTTTAACTTCTTCCTTGTGGAGCTTTTTTTTTTTTTTTTTCCCCCTGCCTATTTTTGTTCTTTCCCTTCTGTCCTCCTAAATTCGGTATAAAAGAAAAAAGGAGTAAACAAAGAGTTTGGAAAGCTCTTTCAGCCCTGCTCTTCCTGGCTTATGGAGCAGTTGGAATGGAGGGGGAGGCCCAGAGCACAGGAACCACAATGCTTTGGATAGCTGGATTTTCAAAACAAAAATGGGGTTAGAAATGGAAACTTTGGTTAACTGAGACAGGGATCAAAGCTCCATTTCATGCTTGGCTGCAAAGCTGGATCTCCATCACCCTCTTGCTCTGACACTTCCCCCATTTAACCTGGTGCTCCAGAGGGGTTTTTCCAGCTCCACAAGCACAGAGGGTCTTGCCCTCATCCCCCGAGCAAGCAGATGTGGGGACACCACTGCCCAGACTCTCTTCCTGCCCCAGGAAACATCACCTTGTTACAACTTTATTTCCAGAGGTTTAGAGCAGGAAGATCCAGGGGTCGAATGGGATGAGCTTTAAGGTCCCTTCCAACCCAAACCATTCCAGGATTCTGTGACCCTGGGGAATGAAACATCCCGGTGGAGATCACTGACTCCTTGGAACCCCCGTGGCAGTGGGAGGACCCACACCAAGGACAGACAGCACGAGTGGGATGGGGGTGCTGGCACCACCCTGCACTGAACCGCTTTGGCTCGACACACATTGCTCTGGAAAGCAACAGAAACACCCCAGAACTGAGGTGGACATCAGCCTGAGGTGAACATCAGCCTGAGGTGGACATACATCAGCCTGAGGTGAACATCAGCCTGTGCTTGGCCCTTCTGAGCCAGGAGATTTCATCCCCTTCCTGCCAGAGCTGCTTTTATTGTCTTGATCTAATGAAGTGCAGACTTCACCTGGACAGACCCATAAGTGGCTCCTCTCGGAGGCAATGAATACAAATACTTGACCTCATGAGCTGCGGGGCAGCAATTAGTTTAAGCAGGGGGTTTGTGTAACACTTCAAAAGTCTTAATCCGTGCGGTCAGCCCTGGCACGGTATTTGCCAGAACCTATTGAGTAGTCTTAATGAGTCTGCAAAGCAAGCTTTCAATACATTTTGGGTCGCTTCAGATGCTTTAAATGGCATAGTCTATATGGCATTGTGCGGCTTTAGAAAGGGCCGGGCTTTAAAAAAGTACGGCTCCCTTTCACAGGGCAGACAGAAACCATCTTTCGAGCCGGGACCCTTAACGTTTTGCATATCAATACGGCTGGGGCTGAATGCACTCACTGAGCTGAGAAATAGGATCACTATCAGCGTTTCCAGGCTTTCACAGGCACTTGGGAAACTTTAAAGCCCTTCGCGGAGAATAATTTGGTCGAATGTCGTGGCTGGAAACAAAACCTAAACAAGCAGAGCGCAGTCCATCACGCGGAGCTGCCAGCGCGGCTGACAAGGGGCTCCAGCCGCTCCGACATCCCACCCCCGGCGGGTGGGGGCCGGGCCACCGCCGTCCTGGGGGGACACGACCAGGGGTCCCTGCACTGGGCACGGGGGCTGAGCCCATCCCGGCAGTGGCCACAGCGCTCAGAGAGCTCTGGGCTTTCAACCAGCAGCAAACCCATCCTGGTTTCGTCTCTTCCCACTGTTCCCTGGCGATACCCCAGTTTATGCCGGTCATAAAGCCCCCCCAGGCTCTGGCACAGCGCTGGTGGCATCTGTGTCGGTCCCCGGTGCCCCTGACACCTGCAGGGACTGTCACCACCATGCCCTGTTCCCCACAAACAGGCCACCCTTTGGATTCGACTCCGACATTCCATTAACTCCATTCCTGCCCGTGTCACTCGTGTCACTCGTCCTGGGGCTGAACAGGACACGTTGAACCTCAGCTCCAGCACTGGGACAGAAAATACCTCCAGCACTGGGACAGAAAATACCGTCACCTCCACGGGCACAACGGAGGTGCCAGGGGGTGGATGTGGGAGCAGGGACAGCTGGGAGGGACAGAGCACAGTGTGTGGGTGTAAAACCACCCTGGGGATGGGAAGAAAGGGGATGGAGGTGTTTGTACATCCCAGGAGAAGTGGTACCTGCTGCCTCCATCACCCCGGGCAGCAGCAGTGGGAAGGGAAGGCACCTTGGCAGGACGGGCAGCTTTGGGGGGCAGCTCTGGGATGCTGCACGATGGAAGGAACCACAGCCAAAACATATTTGCAAACAATGCAGGGCCTGAGGGCCCTTCAAAACACATAATTAGCTCATTAAAGAGACAAATACGAGTCACTAATAAGATATTAGAGGTTAATTAAATGTTTTCCCCATCTTTAATTAAGGGAAAACTAGTTAGTACAGATTAAACTAATTTCTGCAGCCTCCTGTGATGACCCTCGATGGCTGCAGATTTGGAAATCCATTGAGATTATTGAGCTGACAGGGCAAAGTTTGGGGATTTTGTCTGCTCTGCTTGGGAATTAGGGGGAAGCAGGAATTTTCATCCCAAGGGTCAGAAATGCTCTGCTCTATCAGCTGGGTGACTCAAGGGACACAGGAAGGGATGTGATACCCAGCTCCCTCTCCCTAACCCGGGCCTGGCATGTATTCAAAACTACTGCAGTTAATTGTTTTCTTAACCAGGCAGTTCCTGCAGACTCTATTCCATCTGCAAAACATCCCCCGTGCTCGGGGGCTGCTGCTCGAGGGCCTCACCCACCGCCCCTTGGCCCTCAGTGCCTGTGCCAGCTCTGGAATTTGGTTTGGCAAAAACCCACTGGTCGCCCACCCCAGAGTCCAGCAGGTTTCCAAAGGTTTTATTATGGATGGTGGATCCATCACCATCCCACACACACACACAGAGCCCCATCCACACACCCACACGTCCCGCTCGCCACCCGGAACGGTCCCGGTCAACACAGATTAGCGAGACTTATATGGAAGAATATTTAATCTGGTCAGGGAGGGGAGAGGGGCCATCTGTGGTTTGATTTCTTAAATATTTCTCTCTACTCCAGAAAAGTCCATTTCCTGCCAGAAAAGGTCCTGATATAAATTAGAACGGAGGGAGGAGGTTGCTGGTGGGGCGGCCACGAGCGTCCCTGGACCATGATGACCACGAGCGTCCCTGGACCATGACCATGAGCACCCCTGGACCACGATGACCACGAGCATCCCTGGACCATGACCATGAGCATCCCTGGGCCCCGGCAGCCACGGAGCATCCCTGGCCTGCAGTCCCGGCTCCAAACACTGCTGGCAGTGCCAGTGTGGTGCTGTGCCCTGGGGTGGCTCAGTCCCACCCGAAGTCCTGCCCCGTCATCTGATAGAACTTCATGTTGAAGGGTCTGTAGAACTCGCGCAGGCGCTGCACCACCTGCGGCTCGATCCTGGGGTGGGGCCGCCCCTTGGACTTGCCCAGGCAGCGGGGTTTGCTGCCCTCGGGCTTCTTCAGGCAGGGGAAGCCCTTGGTCTGGTTGAAATAGAAGTGTTTGTCCGTCACCACCCTCTGCAGGCCCAGGAAGTCCTGGACACGGCCCATCTCCCCGGCCGGGTCGCTGACGAGCCTCTCCCCGCTGACGAAGAGGAAGCTGGCGAGGGGGAAGTACTGCAGCCAGTTGTCCAGGTGCTTGGCGTAGATCCCGATCCTCACCGCGCTCCAGCTCGTGTCGATCAGCCCCGTGCTGGCGTTCTTGAAGGCCAGGGCCTGGAAGCTGGGGATGGCGGGGTTTTTGGACAGGGTCTGTGTGTAGTCCGAGATGGCCCTGGTCACCGGGTTCCGCACCACCACGATCAGCTTCGTGTCCCGGGACATGTTGTAGATGCGCCTGGGGGCCTCCTTGGTGACGAAGTAGCTGGGGGTCTTCTCCATGGTGATCTGCCCCTCCAGAGTCCTGGGCATCAGGCTCCTGGGGACACAGAGGGACACGGTCAGGGCTCCAGGCACAGCTGCTCTGGCCTGATGCCACCATGAGCAGGAACGAGCCCCAAAACCTGCCCAGGAAGGCTCAGGAGCCTCTCAACCACAAACCCCCTCTCTCCTTCCCTCCTACCAGCCAGAAACATGACCTTGTCACACCCCTTTGGTCACCTCCTCATCTTCAAACTCCTTCCTAGGAGTCCCCATGTCCTGGTCTCTCCATTCTGCTCACCCCATCTCAGTGTCCCCTCCAGAGTCTGTCCCTGGGAAGGGACTCCTGTCACTCTGCCCCACCAGCAGCACATCCAGAGAGCACCTGCAGGCTGTTGGTCCCCCTTGGAGGTTCCCCACAACCCCCTTCCCAATCCTTTCCCAGGACACTCCAGGACACTACACACGTTTTGGGGCAGGGCTGGTTTTCATCCCTAGCCTCCAGACAGATTTCATGTCCTGGAGGTTCTGACCCACCGCGGGGGACTGGAAAGAGAAAAATCCCATCCCAGGGGTGATGCCCAAGGAGTAGCTGGGGATGGAGATGCCCACAGGGCTCCCTCCTCTGCCCCCAGCCAGCGAGCAGTTAAGGCCAGAAAAAGACAGTTTCCTTCTAAAAAGAAAGGCAGGAAACCTCAGAGGGCCCAGCCATTGTGCTGGGGAAAATTCACTGCCCTGATTGTTCCCTCGTGCACTTTAATGAGGCATTAATTACCAGAGAAATTACCCAGCCGTGTCACCCTGTGTGACAGAACGGGTCCTCCCTGCCACCAGCACAGGCACCTGCCCCAGAGCCCTCCACATCCCCCTCTCCCACTTCCAAGGAAGAATCATAGAATTCTGGAATGCTTTGGGAAGGGACCTTACAGACCATCCAGTGCCGTGGGCAGGGACACCTCCCATTAGCCCAGGTTGCTCCAATCCCCCTCCAACCTGGCCTGGGACACTTGCAGGGATGGGGCAGCCACAGCTTCCCTGGGATCCCCATCCCACTGCTCGGAGCGTTGTGCAGGGAGCCAGGTGCCAAAAGCAGTTGGGGACAGGGACAGGGACAGGCCATGCTGCAGCCAAGGCTGTGCTGGGGGGGAAGTCAGGGCTCTGCCCAACGGCATTTGTTCCTTATGTAATGGGAAAAGCTTGAGGTTTCTGGGATTTTTTCCCCTGGACTCAGGAAAGAACACTTGATTAAAAGCACTTGTGAGCGGTGCTGGGCCCTACACAGCTCCCTCCCCCAGACAAGAGGCAAAAGCCACTTGTGGCTTCCCCCCCCCCTTTTTTAAAAATTTTTGCACAGTGCCAGTGTTTTTAGAGCCACTTCTTGTTCCCAGTGTCCTCTCCTGGCAGCACAGCCCCTCCGTTTGGCACCAGCAGGATGCCCTTCTGGGGTCCCTAAATCCTGGGGCAGCCGGGGGTCCCCATCCTTTCCAGCACCTTTTTCCCATCACCCCAAATAACAGCACTTACCAGAGAGGCTGACTGACAGAGTTCCTGCTGGGAAACATCTTCCCAAACCAGGATCAGACCCTCACACGCACACCTGTCCCCTCCCACGGTGCCAAGGCCATCGTCCCTAAGGGGTCTGTGGGGTAGAGGGACCCCCAGAGCCCCCCAGGACCCCCACCCACCCCACACCCAGCAGTACCAACACCTTCCCTGGCCCCATCCTGCTGACCCAAAGCTTCTCAGCTCCTGGGAGCTGCACCTACTTTAATTAACACCAACCACAGCATCCAAGGCTTAATCACCACATAATTAACAGAGAATATTTAATCCCAGCCCACGCTGGGGCAGCTCTGTGTGCACAGGTACCCCCAAAACTGCAGCCCCTGTGCCTGTGCTGGGGGGCAGAGACTTCACCCCCCAAACTGCCCCCCCCCCAGCAGGGACAGCGGGGTCCCAACATCCCAGAATCCTGTTGGGAACAGCGGCCTCCAAGCGCTCAGTTGTGCAGCACCTCCTCTTCCTGAGCAGCTCCATCACCCCCAGCTACTTGGGAGATAATTACGCAATTTCACATTATCATTAACTCCCTAATACTTTCCCCTAAATTACCCCAGTTAATTATTGATAACCCCTCCAGATCTGGCTTCAACTGGCAAAGAGCAGAGCGGGCTTTGTTGTGCCCCACTTTAATGCAAACACCGGAAACTTTAATTAAATTTGCAGTTAATTCTTATTGACCTTAAGAGAACGCCCTGGGAATGCCAGGCAGTGCCTACAGGTACACGACACTGCAGTGGGGGAGCCCTGGGCAGCCTTGGCAGGAGTTGGGATTTCAAGAGGAGACTGTGCCCGGGGGAGGGATACAACCCTTTTAACCTTTCTATTAAGCTGATAAATTGCAATTTTTAATTAATAAAACAACTGGCATTTGAGAGGCGTCAGAGATGGGATTTCCTACACGGAGATGTCCAGCACGTGCAACGTTTCCTCTGCTGAGGTAACGTGCAGGGAGTCACAGCAGATAAAATGATGATAAAAATGCAGAAATGCATTAAATACTGATTAACAGCCGTGGCAGGCAGGGAATCAAAGCAGACTTCAAAAACCGGGCCGACATAACTTTCCAGAGTTAATTGGTTTGTGATTCCTCAACTCTGGGATGATTTTGGTGCAGAGGAAGGAGAACTCCTCCCAGCATGGAGCTGAGGGCCCAAGGGATGCACCCTCAGGAGCTCAACCTGATAAATAACTCTCCAGCCCAAAGCATCCCTGAGTTATCACCCAGGGCAGCTTCATAAGGAAAATTAACTCTATCCCAGCCCAAACCAGGAGAGCAGGACAGGCCTTGCCTACAGTTCATCCCCACTGAAATGCCCTAGCATGGATACAGCTCCAACCTGTGATGGGGAACCCCAAACCCCAGATCAACCACAGGGGTGATGGGGGCCATCACATCAGGGGGATTGGAGCCATGGGCTCAGGGCTTACAGGTTCTGTATCACCACCAAAAAGAGAAAAAGGGGGAGAAAAAAACCACAACCCTTCTCTATTATTATTTTCAAAAAAATGAGCACTGACCAAAAAGGCCAGACAAAAGGAGTGAAAGGAGGGGATTTCTCCCGGGTGGGACATGGTTGAGAGCTTTCTGCAGGGCAAAGAAAGTGACTCTTTCAAGGCTCTAAGATGGGCCATGGGGGACAAAACCCCCCGGGCAGGGGACACCCCGCGCTCCAGGGGACCCCCTCCCTCCTGGGCAGGGTGACAGCGGCTCGGGTGGGGGACAGAACCGTTTTTGTGTAAATGTAAAACAGTTTGGAACCGGGAGAGGGGGGGACAAGGCTTGGGACAGATTTATCCTCTCGCAGCAGACACCCGGTACCACCCGGATCTGCATATGAATCGCCCCCAGGGCTTATCTCAGCCCCGGGGACAAGGCTGCCTTTGTGGCCCCACGGCAGCTATGAAGTTGTTAAACTGGAACCAGTGATGGAAACTTGGAATTTTGGAGATAGCGGCCTCTTCCTTCCAGGCAGCTCAAATAGCAGCACCTTGGCTGGGAGGAAAGGTGTGAGAAAGCAGGGAGGGGGACAGGATGTCGGTAGGGACAGATCCAGCCCCGGATCCCTGATCCGGCTTCTGGGGGACACACCAGACCCCCATTCCCCCAAAATAGCGGGGCTATGTGTGGGCAGCTGTCCCTACCCCCATCCCTGGCCATTCCATGACCTTCTATTCCCGGAGGATGCACCGGGGCATCTGTTGAACCTCTGCAGGGCTTGGATGGCTGAACTGGGAATGCTGAACTGGGAATGCTGAACTGGGAAAGATGCACTGGGAAGGCTGAACCCACCAAGCCGCCCGGGAGCAAATTAGCCCACGTTCCCTATTCCTCCTCATTACCGTGATATTCCCCCTCTCCTCCGAAGGGGCAGCGGGTCCTGCCAGTGCCCCCCCAGCCCGCAGAGCCTCCCCCGGCGTTCCCCATCCCCGAGCTGCCTCCATTATTTTTGATTCTTTCACCAATTCAAAAATGTGCAAATGAGGCCACGGCTTCCCAATCAGGCCTGGCCGGGAGCTAATTGGCTTTAAGCAGGGAAACCTGAATATGCTAATGACGGCAATAACAAGCCCGGGATGCGCCTGGAAGGGGAGCCAAGCCCTGGGCTCCACCACGGGCTGACTGAGACACGTCAATTAACAAGGAGGACGATAATTTATTAATGCTCCTTTGCACCCCCCTGCCCTTTGCTCCTAATTACAGTTTGATACATGAAACATCGAGGAGGTTTTCCCGGTCCTGCTCCCAGCTGGAGCATCCCCAGGCAGCCCCCAGAGCCTCCTGCTGCCCCCCAGAAGCCCATGTCCCCATTAAGCCATAGACCAGGACCACAACTGGGGGTCTCCAGCCAACACAGAGGACCCAGACCACGGGGACAGGGACCCTGGGTTGGGATTCAGTGGATAAAGATGCTCAGAGGAGGAGGAAAATGCTATGGACTGGGTGCTGCTGCCTGCCAGGGCCGGTCCCCACAGGGTCCAAGCCCCCCCAAACCCTTCCTGCAGCATCAGGATGTGGGAGATGAGGAGCGAGGGAAAGGGGAGAAGCTGGAGCCAACATTTGCATTTCTAATGGAGTGGCTTTCACAGGTCACCCGACACCCAGCTATGACCCCCCACAGGAACCGGGGCCATGGGGGAAAACACGTCTGCTTTTCCCATCTCCAGAGTCCCCCAGACTTCTGTGTACCCCAATTCCCTGGCAGGAAGGGACAAAAAAGGCTGTGTCCTCCCCAACCCCACAGTCCCCACACCAACCCCAGCTCCACTCGGCCATCCCACACTTCCACCCCCGTCCTGCCCCGTGTATGGCCAGAGACAGCAATTAGGGGCAGCTCCAGGCCCTGAAGGTTTTTATTCCAAAGGCTCTGGTGAATGCCCATCACAGCCAGTGATTATGGAGAGCAGGAATCAGCCTCAACAAGGACACAGCACCTTCCCTGCTCTGGAGCTTCAGCTGTTTGGCCTCAGCATCCATGAGAGATAGTCCCTCCTCAC